CATTGGAATCATTGTTAAGCGGGAGATGATAAGATATTAATCTGTGCCGTTAAGTCGAAAAATGTTACTAAGGCTTTTTAAACTTCCTTATTTCATTCCTTCAGTTCGTAAATTACAGCTTTTTTTTCTTTATGCGAAAATGCCCTTAGTTGTTAGGAATGTGGAAGTCTCATGAAAATCTTCTTGTATTCTCCAACAGCCGCCATGCACGTAAATATGTTGGCAAACCATATATCAGCTGTAATTTAATTATCGTCAGAAAGTCTCAGTTCACCTATTTTTTGGGGTGTAAGGCCCGCACCTGTGAGAGGCGCCTTTTTCCCTTGCATGCGGCGATGGTTTTTCGACTTTCTTTCCGCCTATTTTTATGATCTCCTGTTTGGATGCAAAATAGAGCGCTGACATATGCCAAAAGATAAAAATGCAGTCGCTGTGCTTAGAAACTTACACGCGCGGTACGCCTCCGTGCCCATGCTAGCAAAAGCCCCTTCTGGTACTCTAGAAATAAGGTCAACTTTCCAAAGCAGCTACAAGAAGTGGTAGTTGTGCAGTGGTTTTGGGGCGTCAGCAACTACTGGGAATTGCGAGCGTGAAGCGGATAAAGTCAAACCGGGAACGTCCATTAGGCGCTTCGGAAAAATCACTAGGAAAGCTAGGAGCGACCTTTCTCACCGCCAACCAAGTCAACCCCCTCCTATGAGATTCTTCCATCGGTATCTTACCCTTATGGTGCCAACAAGTGAAAGCTCGTGCCATTCCATCCCCTCTATCCCGTACGCCCTTACAAGTTCGGATTGGCAGCGGTCTTATCCAGACTTTTTTTTCTGCCTTTTCCTTCTTTTATTGAGTCACTTACCATGTTATCATTTGTATTTGAGCCCCTACGGCCACCACTTGTTTTGGAGGGATGTGCCTTCAATAAGTTCATATTATTGGAAAAAACAAAACTTGTTTTCTAATGAAGAAGCGCATGCGAGAGGACAGACAATAGCTGAGAAAAAACATGAAGAAAGTGAAGCCAGTTCCAAATTCATGAAGAAACGGGCTTGAATATCGCTCGCAGAATATCACAAGTTGCGTAGGTGCTCTATGATTTACAGCTTCGGCGTCTGGTGTTTAATAAATGACACGATTTAGTAGATAGACAGTGAACACTGAAGTATGCTCAAACCAGCTGCATTTACTTAAAAGTTAGCCAAAAATAAAAATCACCTGGCATACACACAAACCGTTGCTCTACCAATCAACTTACGATTGTTGGCGTGAGTTTGGAAATCTCTCTCGAGCACTTGAATGCGCTGGTGGGCTCGAACAAAGGAGCAACGTCTGAAGCGTCCAAATTATGGCATTTTTAACGGGTTCTTTTGCCTTTTCTGAGTCAATCGGCATATACGCTCCCGTTCGGGAACCGCACTACTTGAGTTCACTTGGTTGCCGATGGCGAGAGAGTGCGAGGCTACTTTAGTGGATTAGTAGTCCTGAAAGCGTGAGGGGTACGCTTCCTTGATGGGGTAAAGCGTTGTACCCATGGGATAGCAATCTTGCGACATTACTACCATTTTTTACCTGATCTTCTGATCGCCACATCACCCAAATTACTGGTTGAATAGAATCACCTTATGTATTTCATGTTGTTTTCATGTCCTTCTGTTCTCATGGTCAGTAGCCCGGAAGCTTCTGAAGTTGGGCTGTCTCCTTTCGGGTAGATACGACTTGCTTCACCCACCACTGGGCGCGAGAATCTGTATGTAGTCGACCTCTTTCCCTCTCAAGCGTTAGAAACTCGGTGTCCGCGATCCAGGTTCCACTGTTCAGATCCTGTCGAGTAGTGGGTGATGACCTGACCCGCTCTGCAACAGCAAATCGACCATAGGTGTGGCCACCCGTCAATATTCCTGTAGTGACGTCATATCCCTATTTTCTATTTCTGTTCAATTTTTGTAGGACATTTGCGAAAATGGTGAGATTTGGAAAAAGCGATTCCATCGAGGAACCAGGGGTCGTGCACAGAGGTGAAACTGGACAGCTCCCCAAGACACGCAAGTAAGTTTAAGTCGCCGTTCTTTGAACCGTCAGCTCTATTGAATAAGAAGTTCACTGAATGATCTTACGGACCAATCAGGCGGTTCAACTGATTTCCGGGAAAATCTTTGATGTTCATTGGCAACAAATTTCACTTTAGAAGTGCAATAGGTCTACGACTAGCAATTTCCGATTTAGAAATGAAAGCGTCATTGCACGACTGCGACATCGTTTACATCAAAAACTTCTTTCCACATTTCGCCTCTCCAGCAAGTCAAAGGAACCACAGCCGACTAGAACACCCTCACCTATATCAGAGGTATGCTAACTATCATGTGTATTGTGTTGACTTGATCTGACTAAATTCGAGAGCGGTCTCATTCAATAAATTTCTCAAGATACGAGATAAAGACCTGTAAATCGGCACGATTTACGTACGAGAGGGTGCTGCCTGATCCTCCGAGCCTCGCGAATGCATATTGTGGGTATTAGCGTTCAATAACGGGCCTATAGTCGCTAAGTGGCTTTCCATGGAAAAAAGAGCAGTAAAAATTGGCAGCCCGGTATCCTCACTATACAAGTTATTCGGTTGTCGTTTTATGGCAACAAAGCCTCCTCTGGCTAACTAGCGCTGTTCAATGCTAATAAATCTAACAGTCAAAACAATGAGGTGTAAAAACTAAACTTGTACAGGAAATAGACTTCAAGTTCCGGTAGGGGGGAGCAAATAGGGAAGCGGGCTTCAGCGGTGTCACTTGTGAGGTTCGCAACGCCTTCGTTACATTCTGTGAAGCCGCGAAAGTGAGACAATATTGCAGACTGAGTGCTAGACTACTTGTACAAGGAAGGAGCATGAGCGCGGAGACTGTCTATGAAAAATGGGCGGAGTCGTGTGTGTACCGGTATTTCACTTTTTCCCAGTTATTCGGCATGTGTGAAATAATAAAAGTGCAAAAAAGTCAAGAGCGGGGACTTCAATCTTTTCCGCCGTTTCTGTGGACAGCTGAAACTGTAAGGGTTCAGGAAACAATCCACCATTTTGATAAACAAGATCGAC